GGACACAAAAAAAAAAAAAAAAAAAAAAAAAAAAAAAAAAAAAAAATGAAGTTTCAGTTTTCTCTACTGCCTTATAAGGGAGAGGCTCCAAGAAGGGAAAGCCCTGCTGCTGGAAAGGAGGTTTTTTCAGTTATAAGAAGAGATGAACGTGGTGTGTACCAGAGCGTGGTATGTATCAGACCTGGTGTTTACCTGACACAGAAGCAGGCAGGATAGCTTGGCCCACCAGTCCTTGCTGAAGCAAGTTTTGGTCGAACTGTCCTGTCAGGACAGAGTTGTTCATGATGAACACATTAGGGTCGGAAGAGGAGGAACTGAGGAGGCTGACAGGAGGGAGCCCTTCGGAGGAACTCCGAGTTCCAGGCTTTCTAGCTTTCTTTGGGTCAGGTTTATAATGAAACTGCATATGAGTCTTCCTTCGGCCCGAAGTCCGGAAACGCAGCTCACAGTGCGGGCATTTGAAAGGCTTTGCTCCCGTATGCAGCCGCATGTGAACTTTCAGACTTCCCTTGGTGGAAAACGCGTTGCTGCAGACGTGACAGCTGAAGAGCTTCTGACCTGTCGAAAGCCCAGCCAAGAGTCAAGGGAGGCGATGACAGACACTACATCCAAACACACCCAGTCCAGTGTCCACACCAGGGCACAGGGCTGACTCCACAGACGAAAGTGCCTTCCAAAGAATCCCTCTCACCTGAAAGATGTCATGGACGTGACAGACAATTGTTGTAGAAACTTAACAGTATAGTGTTTGCAATATGATTTTAGTAATGCCACAGCCCTTTGAGGTTTACAGCATCTTTAAACCACTGCATGGTACTGCACCTTGATAGGAGCATCTGACTTGGATTCATCAGAAGCTAGAAGGTGGGGTGATTAACAGCCCAGCTCTGCACTGCTGTCAGTTTTCTTTGGGTTTATAAAAAACTCTTGAAAGTCTCGGCACCTCTTTATTTTCTCCTCTGCCCAACAGGGGCAACCAAAATGCCAGCACAGGTAGGTACCACCACACCTGAATAATGAACAAAGGAAAACTCCACTATGGGGACACAGAGCAGTGCGTCTAGGATAACAACCATAGATCCTTAGAGGCTCTTTTCATATTACCGGGTGTCACAAAGGCCGTGAAGGCACTGAGTGGCATTGGCACCGACTCTGTTCTGGAAGGGCTTCTGGGGGTAGAAAAACTTCCTGGTCTTCTTCTCCCTCGACTGGCCCAGGAACAAACACTGGATTTCACCAGGGATGACACAAAATGCACAAAATGACTAGAGAGGCCTATTTACTGGAACACTACTCTAGGGTCCTCAGAAATCACCTTCTCATTTCATAATGGAAAAGAGACACTGAAAGGCATTTTTCACAGACTTTTCTTTCTATTCCTATCCATGTATCCTACACTGAACTGCTAAACCAAGTCAATGACGAGGCAGTGTGTGCTGGGCATCTACCACGTAAGAGCCTGCACACCAGATGGTGGGGTGCAGAGAGAAATGCAGCTGGCCCCTCCCCATCCTCCACAGGCTCACAGCCTTGTATGAGAGAGACAAACACAAGGAACATAATGAAACAGAAAAACTGCGCATAGAAGAGTCATATCAAGTAAGTTCATGTATCTATTTGGTTCCAAATATTAACCTATCAGGAAGGAGTCTTAGGGCTTCACAAGAATGTGTGAAATACTGTTTGCACTTGTTTGTTCAATTCTGCTCATAACCAAAAACTAAGAATATAAATCAGTTTGATAATCATAATCCTATGAATCACAGCAATAATAAATGACTCTCCAATCACTGAGGTTACTACACACCAAACACTTTCTAAGCTATTTAAATGTCTTAACACATCTAGACTGCCAATAAAGGAAGTACTATTAGCTTCGTTTTACACACAAGGAACCTACGGCTCAAAGAAGCAGCTTATCTGAGGGCATGAAGCTTACAAGTTGAGCACAGAACCCACACCAGCAGCTGGCCCCATAACCCCTAGGATGTCCAATGCAGAATAAAAACAAACAAAGGTTAATATATTTTGATTGGTGCAATTAACCTTCAGTTTCTCAAATTAGATAAAGAAAAAGGCCATGAACATTGGACATTAATTTTTCCCTTCGTAAGATTTTCTCCTCATATAAAAATAATTAGGACCTAATAACCGTCATCACATTTGCTAAGTCCCCAGTTTTACCAAACCTCAACAAACCCAATCTCTTCCACCTAAATAAGACTAAGAGGTAATCTTTTTAACAAAGGAATTTAAGGCTGAGTAAGAAGAATACAAAACAACTCATAACTCAACTTTTCAGAGCTAATCTCTTTTTTTTAGTGTTATTTAGACCATTTTTCCTATGTAAGGAATAAAAAGTAAGCTATGTCTTCATGGTTCCTGATTTTTAAGCTTTCTATAACTTTGGCGCATTTATGTGTGCAAAATACAAAAGAAGAGAACATATAAAATGCGATTCCAAGTGCCAACCATGATACAGACGCCTGCTCCTCACCTGTGTGTGTCTTCACATGGCAGTCCAGCGTGGATTTGACTGTGAAACTCTTTCCACACTCGTCACACTTATACGGCTTTTCTCCAGTGTGGATTCGAACATGCCTGTTGAAAAAGCATTTGCAGTGAAGTGTTTTTTTTAATTATGTACACATTTACTAACAACTTCATGATTTGAAATTTATAACTAACTGTATAAATACAAATTATGTGTTACTTTCTACTGATTAAATTTGCCCAAATGAAAATTTTGAGCTTGACTCTATCAAAAAAAACCACCATAAACAAATCCAAAAAAACAACAAAAATATCTACAAGACAAAGGAAAACAGGGCTAATTTCCTTTAAAGCCAAAGAACTCTTAAATCAGCAGGAAGACAACCAACGTCAGAAGAGAAAAATGGGCAATGTGCAGCTTATAGGAGAAGAAATACAAACAGCCAAAAGCATATGGAAAGGTGCTTAACCACACTTACAATCAAAGGAGAGCAAATTAAAATAACAAGATATCACTTCCCCCATCCTGGAAGCCATAAGGCCTGGAAACAGGCATTCAGAGACTCTGGGGGCACAAACACATGACCCTTTGAGGAACCCTCAGCACTGTGCCGAGACTCACACAGGGGCAGAGGACACAGTCGCTGGACAGTCTCCTCCCAGGAATCAAACACGGAGGCTCAATGTTCACCAGCAGGGGCTGGTGAAATAAATTCGGTATCCCATGCGACAGAACACAGCACCACCATTAAAAAGAATGAAATAGGTTTACAGGTAGTGACAAAGAATGATGCCTAAGACTCATCAATATGCAAAAATTAAAGAAAAAACAGAATTGTAGGACTTAATGCTGAGCTATCTGTAGACATTTCTGAAACATAAGAAACTGTTAACCATGGTTATCTCTGGGAAGCAGGACACACTTCCATACTGTTTTGGTTTTGTTTTACTATAATACGTACTCAGTACTGGAGGCCAAACCTTGAACTGCTTTTTAATGAAGGCTAGGACGAGAAGAAAATAACTCAGCTATTTGGTTGTGCCTTGCTTGTTTTCAGGTATAATTGGCTCCCATCCTTTTCACCTTTGTGAGGGAGACATCATTAGCACTCAAGAACTACTTGATCATGTCTTGTCTCTGTGTACCTGCTGTCCCCACCAGCTACGTATCAGCAACATGTACAGGCCCACACCTGGTAGGTCTATACTGGCGTGCAGACTGCAGTCCTGTCCCCAACACCTCTGCATGGCACCCTTGCCTGGAGTAACTTTCTCACCTGTGATTCCACTGCACCTACCACCCCCACCAGTGAAACCAGCTCTCAGCTATTCATCAGCTCCTCCTGGCCACATACAACTGCTGGCCAGGGTACAAAACACCCAATTCTTCCAGTGTTACTCCCTCTATCCTCTCCTTAGTCTAACTTCCCACTGCTTTATTCCTCAAACTCGGATCACACCATCAACACACAGTACATGATTCAGAGAGAGCATGCAGGATGCCATGCTGCTCTAGTGGCCCACGCAGTCCAGCTTCATTTGGGCTTTCTCTGCCTGTGATTTGAGTGCTCACTAAATGAGCACTTCCAACCTAGTGGCTACCTGATAACTACCCGTTTCCTGCATCACCTGCCACCATGCTGTGGAGTACTCTGTGGAATAAAGAGAACAAGGAAAATATGCTATTTGGTTTTCTGAAGCAGGCTGCTATATTATTGTCCATCTTAAAATCTTTTTTTTTTTTTAAGATGACCAGTAAGGGGATCTTAACCCTTGACTTGGTGTTGTCAGCACCACGCTCTCCCAAGTGAGCTAACCAGCCATCCCTATATAGGGATCTGAACCTGTGGCCTTGGTGTTATCAGCACCACACTCTCCCAAGTGAGCCATGGACCGGCCCCTCCATCTTAAAATCTTAACAGTTCTTCCTTTATTAAACTGCTCTACAGCTTTCACCCATTAGTTCTATCTCCTAGAGCAAAAAATAAGTGTCCGCCTTATGGTATGTGGAAGCTCTTCTAATGTTTTAAGATAATGTTTATACTTCGGTCTTTTTTTTCCAGTCTGAACATTCCTAGAGCTCCTTCTATTCTAGGTCTCCTTCCACACTTTACCACGTGTCTTTTTTCCAGATTCTTCACCATTCTGCAAAACTTGATCACACGTATCAATCAATGCTATTTGGCTTATCACCTCGCAACATCTCCAATCAGTCCCCAACTGTCAGGTGTGTGTGTCTGCCCTTCTGACACAGGCCAACCGTCCTCTAGGGCAGGACAGCTGCTGCCCTTCTACAAACCTGCAAAGCTCAGCATCCTGTCTTCCTCAGTAAATTAACTAGCTTACATTTTTTACTACTACCACAATCATAGAGAAATAAGCACCAGCAGTCTACAGAGAAAAGAGATTTTCTAATTAACATTCGGCATGAGCTTATGATACAGAATTAACACAGGTGTAAAGCCATACACTCAGGTAAGTGATTAGCCACTGCTTAAGTAACAGTAGATTCAGAAATTAACCTGCCTTACTGCAATGAAAATTATCAAATGAAGACATGGAATAATATATTTTCAAACTCCCGAACCAGACACCCTGCACAGAGTGCAGCAGTGGGTCTTACCGCACTAAGTCGCTGGGCTTCTTGAAGCTCTTGGGACAATAGGTGCAGCAGTTGGCGTGCTTGGGCTCTGCCTCGAGTTCTGCATGCTTATCCTTCATCTCACTAATGCGATCTTTCTCTGCGGCCGACTGAACTAGGACCTTCTCAGACACCGTAGCACTTTCCTGGGGCCGAATTTTGGCTAATTGGGCTGTCTCTTCCTCTGTGAAAGTGATGACCTCAGGACGAGACTTCCTTACTGCATTTCTGTCAGAATTTTCTTCCTCTTCTTCCATACCCACATCTAAACAAAATATAGGAAAAGGGATCAGAATCCTAGTAAAAACCTTGTTTTAAACAAAATAAGTGAATTAAAACTAAATATGTACATAAGGTTAAAACTAATAACTCAGTTAAGCTAAATCTAAGATTGCGGGAAAGAATTGCTTTTCTTCCCTGCACTGTTTCATTGAGAAACTACGAAAGATCTAGAACAAAACAGTCAGGTGAAGGACGGGCCCAGGCAAGCAACGGCCCAATGTCAGGAATATGCCATGACTGAAGATCTACTTCACCCTCACTGAAAACCACTAGCAAGCCTGGAAATAGTCAGTGTCCCCGCAAGCTACCAGTATTCATAAATGCAGATACTCATTTATTAATATGGGCAAAAAATGAATTATCATCAGATAAAGAAAGTCAGAAGCCCCAAAATGGGAGATTAAGTTGATAAATTAGCAAAGAGTCCCTAATAAAAAATACTTACTATATAGAAGAAAATAAAACTTAAAAAAAAAATGTTTAAGTATTCTCTCAGTGAAACATAAAGATATATTTCAATTCATTTAAAACAAGAATAAGCTGCTAATAAAATGTAACTGAGAAAGAAAATAGTTTGGCTGAGAGCAGGGAGGTCATTACTGCATGAAGGACTTCAAAAAAACTTAAAACTCAGTAGAAACACTAAATAGCACAATGACAGTGGTTAAAACCCAATTAGTGAATTAAAAAACAAACTGGATAATTTTTCTTAGAACATAAAGGGAAAAAAGATGGGATAGATGAGAGGGAGGAAGGTGGGATGGAGAAAGTCAGCCATGGAGGTTAAGAGCCAGGAGATTCATTATCTATTTAGTAGAAATCCCAGAAAAAGAAATAAAGTGAACTAAAATTCCACATTATATCAAAAAAACTTTGAAAGATCTGGGGGCAGGATATAAACAGTGGACCCCACCAACAATGACAAAGAAATATGGAGATAACTGTGTTAAAAAATGTTGCATAAGCAAGGATACAATCAATATAGTGCATACTGTGAGAGCAAAAAGGACAATGAAATTGAGCAGAATAAATACAAGATATAAAACAGGATGGCATGTGTTAGGCCACACAAGTTAAATGTCACAATAAACGTGAAGAGATTCAATCCCTATTACAATAATCCAGATTTGGGTAAAACAAAAGAATTTAACAAGTGACTCTCTCCTATAGAAAACAGAGTTCATATAAAGGTTTTCCCCTCAATGATCCAAAAGAAGAAAACAAGATATATAAAGCTGTATGTGAATATATATGTAGTAGCATGATGAAGCCCTAATAGAATCCCCAAATCAATCCTAACAGCACCGATGTAATAGTATTAGAAACTTTATTAACTGACAGGAAGGAATAGGTTATCAGATTTAGAGATTACATGTACTGGCTGATTAGTTAGCACTCTCCACACTACAGAGTTCTAGAAATAATGCCTGGATGCCCTATATTCTTTAATTCACTTGAAGGAAAAAAGTTATCTTCTTTTTATTCTTTACTAAATTTCATGACAGAAGTACCATCAGCTTGAAAAGTCTGAACAATTTCACTAAGCACAATAGTTCAGAAACTTCAATATTCAGAATTATTTACTGAGGAAATTAGATGATCATCTTCTCTGGCAATGGATAAGTCAGAACTTTCATTATTTTAAAATAGGCAGGACAAATTTTAAAGACTTACTCCTCAAAATATAAGAGAAAGCTACACTGCTATTATTTCAGTATAGCATATCAAGGACCCTGAGGTCAGATGAATACAAAGTAGGAGGAACAGGCAACTGGGGAGAGAAAGCCTCTGAGAACATGTGGTCATCAATATGACATTCACTCAACAGACACTGAGCACTGTATGAGGACAGCACTGGCCAGAGCATAGGCCAGAACCCAGGCCCCACAACATGTCCACAGACCCGCATGACTCACAGGTGTGTAAGAACTAACACTGATGTAAAACGCATTTGGTTAATAACCCTCAAGCCAAGCACCTCCTCCTTCTGTGTCTCCAGTTGCTGGCACAGCAGAGGGCACTGTCTGGTGTCTCTTCATGTGCTTTTTACAGTGGACTGTGGTCCGGAAACCCTCCTCACAGAAGGGACACTTGTAGGGCTTCACACTCAGGTGCGTTGCCATGTGCCGCGTGAGGCTGCCGTTGGTAGTGAAAGATGCACCACAGATGCTACAGCTGAACGCCTTCACCCCTGAGAGGACAGAAATGGGACAACACATGGTTGGAAACAGCCACATTTCATCACCTTCAAATCAAAGACAGTCAAAAGCAGAGATGCACTCAGTAAGCCACAAAATTAAAGAGTTTATTTGCTATCGTTTCTAGTTCTCAGGAACTGAATCATTTTAAGAACATGGAAACTGACAGCACGTCTTCATTTTTTACTGAAATTAACAGCCTCTGAGAAGTATGTTTCCCAAAACAAGTCCTCTGCTCTCAGTCAGTTAAACGGACAACATATTTTTGGGTTATACCAAGTAATGTTTTTTCAAATCCATCTTTCATCATCCCAAAGAAAATTACTTACATTAGGCCCTAAGGAATAGCCTACAAAGTCTCCATACAGCTCTACTTTCTTCCTATCCCTGTCTTTCCTCCCATTGCTCCTTGCAAAAGTCTTATGTGGCCTCTCTCTGCCTCCTAAGCACCATGTGACCTGCTCTCAATCAACCAACGGACTAGCCCAGAAAACTTTTCCTCCTTTTGTTTGTATGTTTCTAAGCAGTACACCTTCACTTTCAGATAAAGCCTTATATAAAATACACACTGATATGAAACACGAAGATCATTAATATATTAAATATACTGAAAATATTTTTAAATATATTAAACATATTATTTAACATATTATATAATAATATTATTTAATAATGTTTTAATATCTTACTATGTAATATATTAAAAATAAATTTAATTGCAAACCATACATATGATAAAGATCCAGAAGTCAGAATATATTTTAAAAAAAGCTCTTAGAACCTGATCAAAATGAGATAAATAACCTAATTTAAAAATGGGCATAGGATTAAAATACACATTTCTCAATAAGTACAACAAAAAATGCTCAACATCATTAGCCATTAGGGAAATGCAAATCAAAACCACAATGAGATACAACTTCACACCCATGAGGATGGTCACAATAAAAAAGACCGACAATAATAAGCACTGGCAAGAATGTAGAAAAATCAGAATCCTCATACATGGCTGGCGGACATGAAAAATAACTTAGCCACTTTGGAAAAGTTTGGTAAACTCAAAAGTTTAAATAGACTCATCACATGACCAAGCAATTCCACACCGAAGTAGAGAAATGAAAACATGTCCACACAAAAACTTGCACTTAAAAGTTCACAGTGGGATTATTCATACTGGCCAAAAATGGAAACAGCCCAAACATCCATCAACTGAAGAACAATAGATGAAATGTGGCATATTCACAGAGTGGAACATTATATGGCCATACAAAGGAATGAGGTACTGACACACATCACAACATGGGTGAACCTTGTGCTGAGTGAAAGAAGCCCGTCACAAAAGATCACATACTGTACAAGTCCATTTACCTGAAATGTCCAGAACAGGCAAATCCACAGAGACAGAGATAGATCAGTGGGTGCCTAGGGTTGGGGGGCACTAAGGGGAAATGGAGTGACTGCTAATAGGTACAGAATTTCCTGTGGGTGTGATAAAAATGTTCTAAAATTAGATAGTGGTGATGGCTGCAGATTTCTGTGAACATACTAAAACCACTGAATTGGACAGTTTAAGTGGGTGACCTGAATGGTATGTGGATCAGTTCTCAATAAAGCTGTTATATTAAAAAACAACAGGCATAATTTCCACACATAAGGCAGACAGTGACCTGTGTGTGTCTTCTCGTGCGACTTGAGGACACCGGAGGAAACAAAGCCCCTCCCACAGAGCTTGCACTTGTAGGGTTTCTCTCCCGTGTGCGAGCGCACATGTTGCTTCAAGTGGCTGGACTTCTTAAAGCCTTTGTTGCAGTATTCACACCTGCAAACCAAACACGCAGAGCTCAGTCCATGTCAGTTCACAGCACGATCACAAAGACAGAAGAAAGGCAAACTAACTTCACCAGCAACTGTTAAACAATCGGGCACAACTGTTTCAGAAACTAGGTGTGCTCGCCAACATTTAAAAAATTATAATACAAAATACAAAACATTCGCAGCAATAATTTGTTGGATCAAATCCTGCTCAGAGTATTTGTAGTCTTAAATGTGTTTTATTATTTAAAAACTAGGAAATCCTGTAATAATTCCCCGGCAGACATATTTGAGTAGTTAGAAACTTTCTCTAAATGTAACAGGAAGAAATTTTATTACATGCTGTTTTCTTTAGTAAGTCATTAGACACTATGATACCTTCTATTGCTTCGGGGCCTGAATCTAGACACTTGGAAATGATAATCCAAATACTCCTTTGGTTTATAAAATACTTTACAAAACAGATTACACTGGAGCTATTTTGAGTAGTACATAAATATGCAGTATTATTTCCCCCGCAGTTACTACTGGATAGATTAAAATTACTTTGAAGACTAAGAGAATTATAAGTCTCAAAATTCCTATTCAGTTATTATTAAAAGCTTATTCCATTAGTACGTCCCTATTTTTTTCCATTCTCAGGTTTTAATGTCTCATAGGAAGTTAGTGAAGTCCCTAAACTATCACTTCTACGTCTAGACTAGGTGCCTACAGAGATGCAACTAACACTTCTCTGTAGCTAAACTGAGGGCTGAATAAGTGTAAATACATTTCAAAATTTCATTCCAATACACGAATGTGATTTGGTGAGGCTATCAATTAAAAATAGAAAGCAGGCAAACAAATATACACCATCTGATTTTAGAAAGGTAATTCTGCACACGAAATTGAGATTGATTCTGATCTACACGTCAGTGATAGGTAATCATCTATTTGCAGAACTGAGTACCATTAAACGACTTGACATTTACGGAGAAAAGGATCTCCAATAAGCAAAGTAAGCTTTCAGAACAGTCACATCTGTTAATTAAAACCAACAACCAACAACAGAACTGTGGAGAAACAACCTCTTACTAGAGAACAGTCAGACAAACAGACCTTCACTATGTGGCCCCAGCCAAGCTAGGAACCAGCTCCATTCATGAGATGGCCCTTCTCTCTCTCCACAGACTACGCCTGCCTGGTCTGTTGACCACACAGCTATTCTCCTAAAACAGAGATGCTAATGCTAACGGCAACATCACAGTAGAACTGTCATCATGCTAGGCAGTTTATCCTCATCACAATTCTGTGCAGTGCATTCCTCAAGTGAGGTCAGACAGAGAGAAAGCAGGAACCATGCCGAGGTCCCCATGACTGTCTGAAGCAAGTGTGCGTAGGAAACACACCTCTGGGGTGCATTCCTCCTCCCTGCTTAGCCGTGCTTTATGGGAAAATTATAGGATACAGGTGCTATGTTTCTCATCTTGGGGAAGGATCTCTGATCCCTGAGAATCTAATTAAAGCTACAACGTCCTCTCCAGCTCGTGGCAAGTCTGACCTGTCCCCGTAGCTGGCTCTTCCTTTCTTTGCCCACCTCTAAGGGGAGTGACCGGGTAGCTATCTTTGAGCCAGTTTCTTCTCTGGACCTGCCAAGGGGCTTGCAATATGAGTCTCTACACTGACAACTCTCAGATGTATACTTCCAGCCTGCACCTCTCCCTCAACTCCAACCTGGTACAAAGTACTGTGACTGCCATTTCTTCTCAGGTATCCACCACAATGACATAAACCAAACTTGGTCTTCACACGAAAGTCTGCTCCTCAGAGGGGCTTCCTCTTTCTAGGTAATACTCATTCCATCTTTCTAGCTGCTCTGGTCAAATCCTTAACTCCTTTTCCTCTCACATTTGACCTGTGATAAGTCTTCTAGGTTCTACCTTCTAAATATATTTGGAGTTTATGGCCACCTCTTACGATAGCAGCGATGACTCTCCAGTCTGCTGACATGTGACACTAACATCCCACTGCTGCATTCTCTTTGTCTATGACCCAGAGTAACACTTCATTGACTCTGCAGTTTACTTACTCATTGTGCCCATTATCTCCTTCTTCTAGAACGTAAATTCCATGGGGACTGAGTTTTTTTCTGTTTTGCTCACTAATACACCCTCGTGCTAGGCACATAACAGGTCCTTAAAAAATGATGAATGAATGGATAGAGGAATGATGCAAGGCTAAAAGTCCAGTAACGCCCCAGCAGATGCCACAAAGGAATCATGAGAACACATAAGATCAAACACACTTAAAAACAATGCAAAATCCCAAATTAGATATTAGCAAAGAAATACATGCTGAATAAATGAAAATATGAAGAAAATATCGTGAGAATCACAGAAATCCTGAAGCCCATCTACGTGTATGCCCTCAGAGTCTGTGGACCCCAAAGTAAGAATCACTGCTCTAATGTATATTTTGCAAACTCATGAAGATCTCAGGATATTAGCCTTCTGAAGGCAATGAATCTAAAGCATAAGAATTCTGGTTCAAGGTATTTAGGATCTTGTTTGAAAAACAAACCCTATGTAAATGAAACAAAGGAGTAACTTGGTTTCTCAAAAATTATACAGCCAAACTTATCCATTTTCAGAAATTTTAAGACCATTCATTTGAAGTAAGACAGCTCATCAGTTTTTAAGAATACAGAGAAATGAGACATAGCTTTTATTAAATGGCCCTGGAAAAAAATTACTAGAGTTTAAAAAGTATTTTAAGCAAATGATAAAATTATTAAAATATTATATAGCTAAAACTCTCTCTATAGAATACAATACTCATTTTAATTTTTTTTTTTCCTTTTTGTCTTTTTTCATGACCGGAAACGGATCGCAACCCTCAGTGTCGCGCCCGTACCGGACCAGGACCGGCATCAGGATCGCAACCCTCGGTGTTGCACCCGCACCTCGCTCAGCCAGTGAGCGACTGGTCTGTATGTGGGATCCGAACCCTCGGCGGGAGCGCCACCGCACTTCCCAAGCGGCGCATTGTAGCAGTGCGCCACCGGGCCGGCCCCTCATTTTAATTTTTTTAATACATGTATGCTCATCTTCAATTTTATAAAAATACATTCGTTTTATTTGCTGTAGATGTATGTGCCACCATATGAGATGGGACAGGAGGAGCTGGTTTATTCACCGATGTCCTCCAGGCATCCAGCACTGTACATGTACACTGAAGGTGCTCAGCATACAGTGCTGAATGAATAAAGGAATCACTTAAACCACTGTCTTTTTAACCATGTTGTACCCTGGCACACCAGTTGTTACACACGAAGCATATGAAGAGCCTGGGCAAAAAGGCACAATATAAATTTAAGCTATGTCTGAGCATGTAATAATTACTTAAAGTCGGGGCAGGAGGCTACGGCAGAGTACTCTAAATGCACAGAATGAAGAGGGCTGCCGCATCCAAATCTTGGCCCTGCCACTTGTTAGCAGTAGAAATTTTAGCAAGTTAATCTCTTTTGTGTGAGATCCTTTATTTATAAAATGGAGATGGTAATAAAACCTACCTTACAGAGTTTAGAGAGAATTCAGTTGCAAAGCCCTTGGAGCAGTGGAGGCGCACAACCAGCATGTAGCTGTTGAAAGGCCCGCTGGGCTGTGCAGACACCCACCTGTAAGAGCGCCTGCTCTGGTCCTCACCATCCTCTAGGAACTGTGGGCGTTGGGCCTGCAGGTCCAGCTCCTCTTGGGAAGAATCTTGAATCAAACGAGCTGTCTAAAATTTAACAGAAGTATAAAGCAGACTACTTGAATATCTATTAATAAATATAAAATGACTCAACAACTAAGAACTAGGGATAAGAACATTCATAAATGTGGATTGAAAAGGGAGAAACCCTAAGCAGAGCAATAAAAAAACTTACACAGATTTGATTAAATAAATACCTATTTTATTTTATTAACCTACTTTAATACAGTTTAATCAACCATGAAACTGGTTCTTTCATAGATCCTAATAAGAGATAAGTATTCTCTTTCATCTGCTCTACTCTTAGTGAAAGTGAATAAAAATCCTACTTTCTGAAGATATTGTCTCCTCTCTTGTCACAAAAACCACAGCGGGAGGAAGAGAATAAGCTCTGCACCCCAGGAGCAGTGTCATGCACACACAGAGCAGCCACAATCACCCAATACCTTCCTGCGCAGGTTTTACAACTCAGGCAACCACAGCAAGGACACAAAGATATGGTCAATGTTTTCTGACCTCTCCACTATACACCCAGGCTCACACTGGGCAGAGGGTGAGCTAACCTTCAGAATGCGAGAACAGCCACAGCAAAGATTATGAACGGTTGCTAAATGTTGCTGTAAGCAGGAACCTGTTTTCTAACATGTTCACCTGACTTTCATGATTAAATTAGATAACCCTTACTCTGCAACACCAAGTGAACTGGGTTTGTGTAGTTTTATCCAGAGGGCTCTGGAGTAAAGGCTAAGCTACTCAGGGGCATGTTCTCTACTACACAGATTCAGTATCTGCTGTCAATTATGAAATTTCCAGCTGTGAAAACATGCTCTGAAATTTTCCCTGGAGGGTCCAGACCTCCCACTGGGGCAAAGCCAGGGACAGTGGATTTTAAAGAGATATAACAATTGATTGGTCAATCATTTTTATCACTTCACTATTAAAAAATTTCCAAAAACAGAAAAATCAAAACTAAAACTTAAATGTTTTCTACTTGAATAAGAGATAAATTTTTTTTTTTTTTTTTTTTTTTTTTTTTTTTGTTTTTTTTTTTTT